AGTACGTTGCTCAATATTAACACAACAATTCTGATATTCATAAATATGAAGTATTTTGAGTAATTAAATTAAAAAAGATTTAATAGTAGAAATTGAAAAAGAGTAATAGAAAGGAAAAAACTAAGATGAACTCAACGTATCCGAGGGAATGATTTTAAACAGATGTCTTTGTGCAGTGGTCGATCCGGATGAAAGCAGAGAAAGTGCAGGTGAGCATATCTGGTCGCGCGACCTCGCAGCTTTTAGCGTCAACCTCATCGTTTCCAATGACGTAACCTGCGTCATAGGGTAGCGCCAAAAATTTAGTAGAAACACACGAAACCAATGTTTTTTTTTTTTTTTTTTTTTTTTTTTTTTTTTACAAAATAACACATATTTATATTTATTTTGCTAAGAGAGAAAGGATAGTCTTGTTTTCATTTGCAGATTTGACGTTTGTATAATTATTTTGCTCTTGGTTATTTGGAGCATAATTTCCAAAGACACGCGAAGTCCTTACTTATGGCCAAATCAACGATATATTCTTATTTACTCACGGAATATTTAATTGCATTTTTGAAGATTCTTTAGGTCTTTACGAAAAATACAATGGACTTATTAATTTATTGTTAAATAAATCGTCAAAACCTTTGTCGTCGAAAATAATTCGATCGTTCAATATCATTTGATCATTATAATTTGCCTCATTAATAATATAAAGTAATGAAAGCATATACTGAGTAATTGTAGTGGGGAAAAAAAAAACAAAAACAAAAACAAAAACAAAAACAAAAATATTACGGTGCAACTGTCGATGAGTTAGTAACAAAACACACTTGTGTGTAAGGACATTGACAATCGTGAGGCAGCTGTTGATATTTCCGGTTTACATTTGGATTTTCACTCTTACTGACTCAAGGCTTTTCTCATCGAAGCTTTGCAAACGTTTATTGAAAAATGTTTGTGCTACTTTAAAGAGAAAAAAAAACTCACCTAATTTGTAATACAAAGAATTATAAATTAGAGAAAATATCAAATAACTTTACCCAAAAACATACACGTACAAATTCAAACACGTTATATTTACAAAATGTTAAACACTTTACGACTCTTGAATAATAATTAATTAATTAATTTATCAAAATATCTCTTATATTTATGTTTGAATAATAATCCCCGTGAGAAACTCGAAACACATTATAAACTATTCTGTAATACTCGGAATTATGTATACATGTAAGATAAAAGAAAAGTGAGAAAAAACTCATATAGAATATTTACGTGAAATATAAATTTAAACTCATGTTAAACTTATAGTACGGGATTATTCTAAAAATTTTAATGCATCAAAATTTTAATATTCTTATATAATTTTAAATCGTTTACCATTTAATTAACCTATCAATTGGGAACACATTTAGAAAGCACGCAGCATGTTTATACTTTTTTTTTTTTATTTTTTTTTTTATTAATTTATATGTTAAATAAAAAATTGATTCATATATTTTTAAATGTCCAAATTTTCTACACCGGCTAGTGAAAAAGGCGAACAAGGAAAAAAGCAAAAAAGAAAAGAGAGAAAAATTTACAACCTTCCGATATTTTCGAGAATGTAAGCTTGGTTTATCTTGCTCCTGTATTACTTTGGCCTTCAAATCTTTCACGCATAGCTTACATTTTCCATTTCAACTGCTTTCATTTTAATACAAAGGATAAGTAACAGGAACCACGAGCTTCGGTAAACCAAGCGCAATCTAATTTTCTTATGAATTATTCATAGTTATTAAGATAATATTAGATAGAATAAGATTTATTAATATAACTATAGATATAAGATAATATAATAAGTCGTAAGCTAAGTGTGGCTCCGGTTGCGATTCTCCATAGAGTGAGAAAAACTCCTAGTTCAATGCTTAGAAATTCATAATCATAAATTGGCATGTAACGTGGGTGATAAGATCTGGTTCATTGCGCACTTGTTATTTAATTGGCAGAATCGAAACCGCTGGCCACATTCTCAGCAACGCCCATTCAATAAGCTGATATGCCCAATCCATTTTAGCTTACTGAGGAGGTAAGGATATCTCTCATCAGCACTGACGCACTTTTCCCACTACGAGTATCTCTACCTTTCCTAGGTTTCCTCACTGCGAGTCGAACGTAACAAAGTTTCTTCTTAATTTATCCGTAGTGGTCTTTTGGCAAAAGATATGACAAATGACTTGCTGCCGTTAATGTCGTTATATCTTCATTTCACACAGTTCACTCAACAAGTTACATTAAGGTCGTTATAGCTGTTTCATGGGGAAGACAATGTCATCATTTTTCATTATGACTCTAAATCATTGTTCAATCTCTGCTCTTTTCGCACCACGTTAATCGCGGCTAAATGAGATAGCAAGACAAAAGACTTTTTAAAGTGCGAAAATAGCGGAGGTCAGAAAGAAACAAAAAAAAATATATATATATATATATATATATATATATATATCACGCATATGTTCGAAAAGTTGAATTTAATTTATTAATTTAATTTATTTATTGTATAATTACGAGCGGGTATAAGCATTGACGGAGCATGCATTTATTGCAATTTAAAAGGAAACAAAAATAGCGTTCGATCGGGTGCGTACTGACTTTTAATTCAAATCACGAATTACCAACATTTTTTCATTCATCCATTTTCATTACTTTTCGAACGTAAGCACGTAGATAGTTTGTGAATTATTTTTCGCTCGCTAGATGATTCGTGTGACTAATTTTCGATGAGAATTATGGCTAACGTAATTTTGCTACTAATCGAACCGTTCAATAACTGTGTGGTTCCTTTAACAGCTAAATTACGATTCCAATAGATGTTGTTAGCCTAGAATTAGTAGTAGACGTACCTTGCTTTTTGTGTCGCTAGGTCACCTCGTCAAGGTGCCACACCGACCATCCACACCTACGCAATTAGCAACGGCATTGGTTCGAACGATTCGTAGTATTACGTGTTTAAGGCACACACACGCGCGCGCGCACACACGCACACGCACACATGCTGCCCTCCTAGCCCATCCACACCACTTACGCTCTCTCTCTCTCTCTCTCTATCTATCTATCTATCTATCTATTTCTCTCTGTCTCTCTCTCTCTCGCTGTCTCTCTCTCT